CTGCTCATGCCCAAAGCTGACTGGGATTCAATCCAGCTGAAGACAAAAGSCACAGAGCCACATCAGTACAGCACTCTGCCCAAGCTCATATGACYAAAGTGGGTGCCCTGGGCAAACACCAGCCAGACCTTTGATTTTGCTGTCCACAACAGTTATATGAGAATGGAAGGGTTATAAATCACCAATAGCACAGAAAATTCCKAACAACCATAACCAGTAACTGTTAGAAAGAACAGCTTTAAGTGCACAAGTGTGCTACTCTGCCCTATTTGAATGGTGGATTTCAAGCCATCTGGTCCCTTGGGGAACAATATTCCATATTGTACGGGTCTGTGGAAAGCAGCACAAAAATGTAACTCTTGTCAGAAGGCTTACATTCCTTTGAAAAGATCCCAGGTCTTCATTAAAAAAAAAAAAAAAACAAAAAAAAAAAAAAAAAAAAAAAAAAAAAAAAAAAAAAAAAAAAAAAAAAAAAAAAAAAAAAAAAAAAAAAAAACCCAAAACATATTTAGGAACTCACAAGGTGAGAAAGGCTTGGAAAACGAGTTAGAAAGCACATAATTAAAGGAAATCCATCCTTGGGTGGAAAGAGCTGTTAAAAACCCCATCAACCAAACCTCACAGAACGTMAGTGRCCTCACTGGTACAGTTTGTGAGGAACAGYTTATTCAAAAAAAAGGAAACTGTTCTGAAGGAAGAAAGTGCACTGAAGTTTAGCCAATACAAAGATAAACGTGGATGTACAAAGAAAGGCTTTAACATCCTGAATGATCATCAAAAGGCACCTCCAATAACAAGGTGACAAGGAACATTTCCTGCATCACCAGTGTCCCCATGTACAGATGGCATCTGGAAGTGCCCTATACCCATCCAAGCAGCCACCAAGCCCAGTCACGTTTAGTCYGAATGCATCAGTGAACACATGAGAACAAAGCATATTTCTACATGTGYGTGAGTGACAAGACAATCATACACTGAAATAAAAGGAACTGGAGGTCTACCAGGCTTTTCCCTTCTATTGAAATAAAATTTTACCCTATGCCATGATTATCTGCAGAGGACTTWTGTTACTTTCAAGATAGCTTAGAGGGGAAAAGAATCAATGACCATCTATTTATACCTCAGGGACTCTCGAAGCTGTTGACGTTTTTGGAGAGAGAAAAAAACCCACTAAACTTTTACATCTTTTAAGTGATGTGGATGTAACTTTGATGGGTGAGATGGATTGGGCTGAAAGCTCCACAATGTGCACAAGTCCAGAACTGCATCACTGCCAAAGACCAAGTAAGCTCTCCTCACTTCCTAAAGCCACTGCTGGTCCTGGTGATCACCAAACYGGTCCAGATGCTGGGGCAGTTCACTGATCAGCAGAAAGCTCACCCAGGACAGACACAAACTCACTTTTTGTCAGTACAGTGAGCTGTGAGTGGATCAGTGCTGGAGCAAGCACAAGGGATGAGGAGGGCTGGAGAAAAGAGCRGTGCCATCGCCATGGTGRCAGGGATGGTGACAGCSCAGCACAGCCCAGCACAGCCAACAAACAGCACACGGGAGAAATGGACAAGGAGGAGGAGAAGGGAAGATTATAACAAATAAAGCACTCGTTTTGTTTTGGGAAAACTGACTATAATTAAAACCCAAAGGCAAACACAAACTTGGCAGCTGGAGAGAACAGTGCTGKGTTCTGTTTTGGATTTGCCTGGTGTTCATCAGCCTGGTTGGCAGGACATTTGTTAAGTAGCTCATCTGAAGGGAAATTCCTCTGATTTTCCTTAAAAAATTCCAAGCTGCTTCAAACAAACAAAAACTATTCTCATGTATTGCCCATACCCAGTTTCCTGGACCAGATAAACATATTTATTTTACCTCTGAACAGATATTTTGCCACTCCCTACCTCTGTGTGAAGAAGCCAGCTAAGGGAAAGGAGGACACCTGCTTAGTCCAAAAGAAAAGAATCAGAATATGGTGATGCTTTGAAAATTGCACAAAACACTCAAGTGGAAAGAAAAATAAGTGAACAGCCAGGAAAGCTGCTTTTGGCCCTGGTACTGGTTATAGCACCCCAAAGCTCTGGTTGCTCCTGGCGGTACCTGCAGCTGGCAACCCCTGCCTTGTAACCTGTCTGTGTCCCATGCTGGGCTTTCTCTTCTGTTCATTAAACTACACTGAAACATCCTTTTTGAAGTGATTTGCCAGAAAAGGCTCTGCCACATTTGAGCTGTGGCTCTAACACTGCTCTGTCAATCCAAATTAGGATGTTGCCTCCTGATTCGTATCCAAAAGAGGTTCCACCTGTATAAGGTGATGCTCAAGTTTCAGAGGACTCTTCTGCTGTCTCCATGCAGGGTGGAAAACACACCCCATGAAGAAGGATTGCACTGAGAAGCGTTTTCCTAGGTGAGGGTGGGTATCTATCATCACTGCTATCCCTTGGGACATCACTGAGAAAACTCAACATGGTAGTGTAAGGCTGATGTGCTGCACAGAAGCCCATGATGCTCCCACCCAGACGTGTCAGCTGCAGCACTGGAAAATGTAAAGCCATCTCTGGATGGAGGAGGAGAGCTTGCACAGAGAGGAAAGGTACAGCAAGGGCGAAATTTGGACCTATTCCCAGTTTCCAATGGAAAGGGCTCAGCCAGATGAAGTACATGTTCCCCTGCAGATCTTCCCCAAACTCCAGCCCTTGCTSCTGACTGCCCCAAGGGGCTGCCACTTCCACAATCAGCACTGCAGTGCCGTGACAGGCAGCAATGCCTGGAGCTCATGTGCATGCCCCAAAGTCCCTGCACCCATCACCAAGCAGTCTGCTGGGCATCCCACTGCAAAAGTATAAAAGTGTCACATGTGCCATAAAAACAGGTGAAATCGGTATTCCTACCCCTTCAATCAGCTTTTAATTGCCAAGGTAAAACAGGACAGGTGCTCAACAGGAGTCGTGCTTGAAAGCGTCAGAGGTGTTATAGGCTTTTTTGTGGAAATTCCCCTTTTTCAGCAAGTATCTTTGAAATAAAATGCAGCCTGTGAGAAGACTCAGGAAAACCTGAAATAACAGCAATGATTCAACCAGCATGCATTGTTCAACACAGTAAAGGCAAAAGCACTGAAACTCATGAAGTTAACAGCACAAATTAGAGGTTTGTGAGCAAACAAAAAGTTAAMGAAGCACAAGGCAGAAAGACCAAAAATTATCAGAAGAGATGGGGCAGGAAACAGAAGGAGAAATGGAGGGAAGGTAAATCTTCCTTGATTGCACCAGCTTTTTCTAAGGGGCTATGGGTACCATTTCAGCAATTTCCTTCAAACAACAACGCTATTTCATGAATGCATTCAAGCGCACTGGCACCACACTGCCCCCACTAAAACTTTCTATAAACCCCTGTTTTACCACACTAAATACCAGAAGTTTATGGGCAAACTTCCTGTCAGGCTCCTGCCCAGAGGGCAGCAGACCCAGCACTTCATCCAGGGACCTCTGGCAGATGCTCCAGCTGTGGGTCACTATCCTGACTTCAGACTCTTGGAAAGACATCAGCTGGTTTGAGTGTTGAAAAAAAAATCTGAGCTCTCCAGGGAAGATGAAGCCCTTTTCAGCCTGGGAAGTATCCCACGACATATTTTTAAATCACAGTCATGCACAGGAGGAACCCATGCACTGGGCTGGAGCACCAGCTCCTGTGTGTATCTTCTGTGGCTGAGCATCATGGGCAGTGAGCAACAGCCCCAGCAGACTGTTACACAACAGCAGGTTGTTTATGTTTGTAACTAAAATGGTAAAAAGAGAGGCGGGGGGAGGGTGGATTCACTGCAAACTAGAGTATGAACCAGCCAGAAAGAAGGTAMACTGCAGCTGCCTCCTCCACACCAGACACACATCATGCCAACATCACATAGCTGCATTAGTGGAGCTCTCTATGGAGGTCAGTGAAGAAGGAGAGGGAGGAGGTGCCTCAGGCACCTGTGGTGCAGCCCACGGTGAGGCAGCTGTACCCCTGGTGCCCATGGAGAACCACAGAGCAGCAGAGATCCACCTGCAGTCCGTGCAGAAGACCCAGACCAGCGCTGGTGGATGACTGAGACAGGGCTGTGAACCTGTGCTGGAGATGGCTCCTGGCAGGAACCTGAGGACTCACGGAGAGAGGAGCCCACACTGGAGCAGGTTTCCTGGTAGGATGTGTGACCCTGTAGGGGACCCACACTGGAGCAGAGTGCTCCTAAAGGAATAGGAACATACACCCTGTAGAAGAGTGACCCACACTGCAGCAGTTGGTGAAGGGCTGGAGCCCATGGGAAGGACTCACACTGGAGAAGTTCGTGGAGGACTGTCTCCCATGGGAGGGACTCCATGCTGGAGCAGGGAGAGGATTGCTCTGCCTGAGCAGCAGCAGACACAACCTGCAATCAACTGACTGTAAACCCCCCATTCCTGTCTCCCTGTGCTGCCCAGAGTTAAGGAAGTAGAGCCAGAGAAGAAGGAATGGGTGGGTGGAAGGTCTTTACAAGATTCATTACTTCTCATTACCGTGCCCTGATTTTGATGGTTGTATTTTCACTGGTAATAAATTCAGTTCATTTCCCCAAGTCGAGTCTGTTTTGCCCATGACAGCAATCAGTTCATTATCTCTCCCTGCCTTTATCTCAACTCATGAGCCTTTTGTTACTACTTTCTCTCCCCTCTCCCCTCTCTCAAATGGCTTTTGGCATCCAAAGAGGGTCAATCCACCACAAAAATGAAGACTGGATTGGACATGCTGAGAAGCTCCTCACCAAGGCACCCAAGTGACTCTGTGACAGCTGTGTCACTTCATTGACCCACATGTAGCACTGGCTGGGGGCATTTGAACTGCAACTCTGCAGCATCCAAGCTGGGATGGATGAGCCCTCTCTTGGCTCTATCCACTCAGAAAACAGCTCAGATCTAGCAAAACTTATCAGCAAAAAGTTTGGCTCAGGACTTCACTTTCTGACCACAGGCTTATTTCTTTCTCTCCCAAAACAGATGAAGAAGGGCAGGGGTTAAGTCCAGCCTGGGATGCTGAGTCCCTGCAGATGGGCAGTGAGAGATGAAGAGGAGCATTTCCCTGATCCACCTGAACCCAGAGAGGATCTCCTGCACTGCTGCACTCCTGTTACTCCTCTTAAYAATTTTATTCACCAACTGCAAGTAACTCCAGAGGCATTGTCAGCACTGATTCAGAGGCCTGTGAGGTATTTCCACATGATTTTATTTTTTACTGGCAGYGTATTTCTGGCTAAGTCAACAAATCCAGTCATTGCTGTTACACATTGTCCTCAGTCTGACATTTATTTTTGCTCATGGTAGAAGAAACTGCAGTTCTTTCTGATTAACTCCACAGAAATGCCTATTACTCAGACAGGAGTCTGAAAGTTGGCTTGAACTAATCAGCAAATTGGTTTAAAACAATTAGGTTCTGAGGATGTGCATCCTCTGGTATCCAAAATGTAATTCTGAGGGTTTATTCACTTCTGATGTTATTTTTTGTCTTACCATCCCCACCAGGTTAATCCCAGACAGGACAGAAACATCATCAAACCCAGCCAGCCCATTGTGGTATAACCCAAAATAGCACMATTTGTTTCTGCAATGGGCTTCCCAACAGAAGCAACATATCCTGTTCCAGTCTTGGCTCTCTACATGCCTTGGGATTCAGTTTTGAGGGAAAGAAGTCCACAAAGAAGCTGCATGAGTTAGTGCAAAGCCCACAAATGCATCCTGCAAAAGGCAGTAGAGATACCCTAAAGGGATCGCACAAGGAATGTTTTGCCATAGAAATACAGAATCACAAACTGTCCTGAGCTCRAAGGGACCCACAAGGATCATCGAGTCCAACTCCTGACCCTACACAAGGCAACTCCAAGARTCACACCATGAGCCTGAGAGCATTATTCAAACACTTCCTGAACTCTGGTAGGCTTGGTGCACTCCCCACTTGCCTGGGGAGCTTCTTCCAGTGCCCCAATGCCCTCAGGATGAAGAACCTTTCCCTAATAACCAACCAACCCCTTTCCCCTGCGRCCCCAAATCAGCTTCATGCCATTCYCTCAAGTCCTGTCACTGCTCACTGGGGAGAAGAGATCAGTSCCTGCCCCTCTGCTTCCCCAAACGTGCAGCAGGCTTGCCCAGCTGGCCAGGCACCACTGCTGGTGGTCCAGTATAGAACAATTCACCCTTAAAACAAAATTAATGGGTTTCAGCAAGCACAGACCACCTGACAGAAGGACATAAAAACACCCTAAGAAAGACTTAGAGCACACAGAAAAAGCCAAGGCTGTCCAGCCAAAGGGCTGCACAGTGCCCTTTCATAGACCATTCCCCCAGGTGTGACAATAGAAGAATATGAGGCTGCAACTGGGCTTCCATGGGAGCACAGGACCTGTGCTGATGGTTTCAAGTTGGCTCAGGATCAGTACAGCTTCTCAGGGGAAAAACAGCCCTGAAGGACTCAACACAAAGCACAGTGACTCTCYTTCCCTGTTGTCAAAGCATCACTTGAAGCCAGAGCTTGAAAATGTGTTACCTGGGAAAGCAAAGCAACCACATTAGGGAGCGAGAGTACAAAGCACACTGTGACATCTACAAGTGAGCTTGAGCTCACTCATTTGTATTTCAAAGGCCACGTTGACACAAGAGATTTTTCTTGTTCTGGCTTTGGCTGTGAAGGGAATGATACACAATTTTGAGTGCCGCAGCCWCTGAGTCAGCTTTCCTGCAGAGTTAGAAACAACAACATTCAGCCTGCTTCACTGGGAGAACGTAAGGACCCATTTTGGAAAATRCCACTTTGGCTAATATAAACAAAATCAATTTCAGGAGTCTTACTCATGTCCATACACCCATCAACCCATCCTAAACTTCCTATGGCTTGAGTGAATATTAAGCTAATCATGTTGAGTGCCTCCCCTCCTTCAGTAACTTCACACTATGAAAGTTTTCCATCCTCAGAGCTCTCGATGACTGATGGTGACATTTAGCAACAAAACAGGCTCAACAGTTTAACACCTTTGTGGCCTCTATCACACTGTAAGGTATCCTCCTTTGGAGGAAAYTATTACTTCTGATCCCACCACCAGCAGGAACCCCACCAGTGCAGATCAGACACAGCCCACTTGGTGACAAGCCACAGTGCTCCTTAGACCRAGAGCTGCCTCTTCAGCCCAGAAACCCAGGGTAATACTGAGCAGAAATACAGTTTAGAGTCTTCCCTGTCATGCCACCAGGACCCTTGCTGGAGGTGGCAATATCCTGCTGGGGCACAACACCTGCCTCAGCTGACAACCTTGAAATTGGCAGCCAAGGTACAACAGTGCATTTATTTACCTGCAATAATTTCAGCCTCCSGTCCTCCTCCTCGTAAACACCAACTGCCTCAAAGGAACAATCCATCCTCCCCACTTTTCACCCACATATTTTATGCCTGTTTTCAGGTCATCTGTCCAGGAACTCCAGAGCTTCTTGGAAACCTCTACTTGCATACAACAAAGCACATCACAATTCATCTGGGCAAATATGTAAAACTGACAAAGTCACAATGTGTCCAATACCCTTGGTAGATACCATCATGACAATGTAGAGGCCTTAAAGAGATGCCATCATAACAAAGTCCATGAATGTCCAACCAACAGAGATCACCCTCTTCAAAGCAGGACCAAAAGACGGGAACCTTAAGTGGGTATTTTGCTCCATTGGTTCCTTCAGGTCGGAGCTGACCACAAATTTTCACTCTTCCTCCATAACTGGACCCCACAGTYAACGCTGGCTCCTTTCCTGTCCCCAAACATGTTGACATTGTCACAGTCCTTCCACCCAGTTTTTTTGGGTCACCCATGTAACCCAAGCAGGCAAAATAGGAAAGCAAAATAGCAATGTAAGGTGTTCAAGAAACTATGGGGGAATCAATTTGCCCAATTAATGATCTTCAAATCAAAATCAGAATCTTCCTTTCAAGCCATCCATCCAGTGCAGTTTCTCACATCTATCTTCTCCACCCACCCACGCACGCCACCTCTGTCCTGGCTGCTTCTCCAGCYTTCATCCATGCCTGTGACACTGCAGTCATGGTCCAACATGTCTCCCCCACTATTTCAGGGCAGGTTTATCCCCATTTTTAAAGCCATTTTCTCCGTATACACTTTGGCCACATTTGTGGACCCGTGCTCATTTGCACACACTCAGCTCACAAACATTTGTAACTCATGGATCTGGAGAGTTCTACCCAGCAGCTCCAAAGTCCCCACATCCTTCACCTGCAGTCACCTGAGATGGTGCTCAATAATTTGTGTTTTCTCTTGGCTGGGTGGAGCAATGGCCTTGTTTGGGGATGAAGGGAAGCAAGACAGGTCACAGAGAGACCTGGCAATGGAGTGGTTRGACCCGACATATCCAACCCAAGATCCCACCACGAAAGTGAGATTTAATTCCTTGTGACAGCACAGATGAGACAAGCTTCATATAAATCACATGGAGTCTGACACAGAGCTATACATAAGATATATATACAGCACACACCAAAACAACACCAAAGAATGTGGATGCCAAAGCAGGGATAAAATTAGCATATTAGAGAAGTGGCAAAATCTTAGAAGATAATGGAAAAAAACGTCTATTTTGAACAGTAATGAACACATTTTAAAAATATGGGATATTCTTGGATTGAAGCCCTACATACCACAACATACGACAATCACGTCAGATTGAAGAACACGAAAAATCAGCCAGAAAGTCTGTGGGAGATGTCCCAAGAAAAACAAGGATTGCATGTGGTAGGGCGCTGCGGCAAATTATTTCCTTGGCACCACAGAATGCATCAGTGTGCTGTCCAGTCCAGCCTGCTGCTGAAATGCAACTTTATTAAAGTCACATAGCCCTTACATAGCAAAAACTAGGATAACCTCAGAAATATGTTTTCAAAATCTGCTCCTTTAAGATTAGTCCAATATTAATGACGCAAAAAGCAACGATAGCAGGGAATACAGKATGCCATTTTTAAGACTTAACCCAGAGAAAACGGAAATGTCAATAATGTCAAATGCACACAAATGGGAACCAAATAATACTGTTGTTAGCTCAATTACTTCATAACAATCAAGTTATACTGCAAAAGTAGATGGAAAATAAATGAAAATGGGCCAGAAAGTTTTTCCCACAACTGGATAATGTGTCCAAGGCCATTAAGGGAGCATACAAGCATCCTAAGGTTAGGAATCAACCTGGGAAGACTTAATAGATGCTCTAGAATGGAAAAACTAACAAATGTAAGGTACTACTTATCTGCAATAAAGCTTACTGTAATATTAAACAAGGACTAATTAAATTCAAATAAAGGAACTATATATATTGATCAGTAATAAGGGCAAAATGCAATCAGAATCCCTGCACTCAAAAATTAAGACCTGCAACCAAGATGGAGGCAAGTATAGTACATGTGAAGATACATGTTCTGCTCCATACCTTATGGACATCAGGACTTTAATGCAATACCTTAGGTAAAATCTGTCCCCAGCACTTTCTGAGGAGAAATCTGTGCCCGAGACACCAACACAGCCCTGAGCATCATTTTCCCAGCTCAACGTACAGCAAAAGGTTTTCCTAACTTTCCCATCCTTTTGGAGGCTGTTTTACTGGATTATTTGGTTATGGGCACGAGGGATGAATTGCAGACGAGGGGTAACTCAATCCCTCTCTCCCTGGAGGAGCTCCAGTGGCAGTTTGAAGTAAGGTGCTGACCTTGGTTACTTTAGTGTTTTGTTTTTTTTTTCTCCTGCAAGCAACCACAACAGAAACCTCAAGCAAAATTGTCCTAAACTCTYTGGGAGATTTGGAATTCAGTCCAACATGGGTGCTATTTGAACTTCATGAAAGGAACATCTTACATRAAATAAGTTTGTGGTGGTGTGCACCAGTAAAATTGATTTTAAAGGCTAAACTGCCAGATCATCGGGAGAAATACATTCRTTAACTCCCAGCATACTGGCAGTTTCAAAGATGCTCCCACGGCCCAGATCAGTCTGTTATCCCAAATACAAGCATTCATTTGCAGCTGTAGCCAGGAAACAGCTCCAAATTTTATATTTATTCTCTGTCTCAGGGAAACAAGGACTTAATACTAAATTCATTTTACACACAATCAACAGAGACATCAAGAAACTAGAAGGTGGGACTGCTCTCTCCCTAGCCCCAGCTGTCTGGAAACTGGGCATCTAACATAAGCCAGATATTCAGAAATTTTCCATGATGCATAGAAAACAGCCTGGTCCAAAGCATTATTTGTTCCCACTCTTCCCACAGAATGTAAGTGGTGTTTACATTGGAAAAGCGTGGTTTTGGATTTCACACCCAACCTCACCTGACTCTAAACCACAGCCATTCAGGAGCCATGAAGTCCATCAAGCAGCAGCTCAGACTGGCACAGTCATGCTGCTACAACACATCCAAGTGGGTCAGCATTTTGGATGCCAAGTCATACTTTTGGACATTTCTAGTCTAGCTGTCTGACCTGCCCATGGTCATTTGGGAAGTATGTTGCAACACCAGGACCAGRGTGTTTCACACTCAGGCTTGAGCTCTTCCCCCTTTTTTGGAAAACAAAACTGCTTTTAAAGACTTCATTTGTGCTCTCAGAAAACACACAAAAATTAATCCCAGAAAGCATCAAGATTTTGGAGGGTTTTTTAGCACAACTGTGAAAGAAATACGAAAATTCAATTCAGCACGATGACCCATTTTCCTCCATCATAGAGACATCTCTTCATGGATAACCTCCATGGTATGGGAGTTCCCAGCAATCAAACACAATTTCTGCCATTTCCCGCCTGGTTCTGCTCAACTGCCCAGCAGCCCTGACCACACCAGGAGTACAACCACAGCACAGCACATGGAAGGGGCTGCAGCCTTAGATGCTCATCCAAAACACCAAGGCATTGAGAATAACACAAAACAGTCAGAGCCATCCAGTTCATACTCTCTGGGACTATGCCCAGTTAGGAAATCTTCCCAGGAAAAGATCATTTGTAAAGCACTATCTATACAGCAAGGTCTAATGATTTAATCCCCATCACAATGTAAAGCTGATGCCTTCCCATGGAAGAATGCAATCCAGCAGGGATGGATTCCTGGCATGTCACTACACATACTTAATTAGAAGGAACATCAACTCTCCCTGTCATGACCACAAGGAAAGACAAGATGGAAAACCGCCACCCATCTCATTCCAAGTCAGCAGCTCCCAGTCTGCCTGCTTGGAGCAGTAAGGGCAACCCATTCCTCCACAGATGAGCTCCCTTGATTGCTCTCAAAGACCCCTCAGGTCCTCTTTTYTGGGGGAATCCAGGTGACAAGTTCAGGCAAACAGACCCAAACAAAAGAGAAACAAAAAAAGCAAACCCAACACATATAGCCAATTTGGCAGTTTGGACACTTTGTTTTCCTGCCCAATTTTTAATCCCCCTTTCCATGAGAGTACRTTGGCATTATGCAGCCCCATCACTGTGGACCCCTCAAGCCTCCAGGCTCCAGATTCTATGCCAGCTTCTCCAAGGTGATCCTGGTTTGGCTGCAAGCTGCACTGGGGCRGGCAGCTATGACTCAGGGTTGCAGCTAAGAAGCATTACCCCTGTGGGGCACTGGGATGTAAGCAGAACACACCCCAGTTTTAATAACTAACCCTTTTTGACCTCAGCCCCTTTATTCCATATAGGTTTTCAACATGCAACTTCACAATTCAGAAAATGAACGCAGATTTCCTCAAAAGAGACAAATTTACTAGGGAATATCATCCACATAAGGACAACATCTCCCTAAAGGAGACACCTCTGCAAGACATGCTGCAGATCAGACACTGAAGATAAAAATACAGACAATACAAACCACCTCTGAGAGCAGCTTTTTCATGCGTGTGAGTAAACCATCCATAGACACCGTTAATTTCAGGAGGAAACAGCAGAACCAAACAATCCATTCATGCAAAACCTAAAAAAATAAAAAAATAAAAAAAAAAAGAAAGACCAGAACACACCTGGTTCAACTGCAGTCTGTAACTGGATGCCCTCCACAAACACGGGGCCCCAGAGAATGGCTCGGGGTCACAGAATGGGTAAGGCTGGAAGGGGSCACAYGGCCACACACACCACRCAGTCTGCAAGGGACTGATCTGAACTGATGCCGTGCTCTCTCCAGACATAGATGTGTCACCACGGAAGGTGGCAAGCTGCYSGCTGGCCCAGWCAGCCCTGGGAGCTGCTGATCAGAAGCAGCTGGATCTTGCAGAGAAGTCTGTGAGGAGCTGAGGGGAGACCAGACTGAACAATGTCACCATTTTTTTTTCAGATTTATAACAATGGCTCTGTGAGGATGAAACTCCTCAAAACCTTTGCTCAAACACCTGGGTGTCCACACGGGCAAGGACAGAGCCTGCAGAGAGCACGGGGCTGCCCAACCTGCTGCCTCCTCCCTACCTTCAAACCCAAGCACCCGCGTGCACAAACATTACCCCATGAAGATACTCTGAAGAAGCAAAAATATCTGAAACAGAGACAGATCGAACAGATTTTCATCACCACATCCTGCACATATCAAGTGAAATCAGAAAGGGGGAGGKGCAGTCCACAAAATAAACAAGCAATTAACCCTCACAGTGAAAGAGTCAGAGTCTTGGCTTTGGGGAAGGAGGAGAATGGCAGCTGAGGAAGAGCTCATTAACRAGGGAAAAATAGAGAAACTATCAATGAAATGAAGCAGTGACCTGCACTACAGGAGAGCACAGGTGAGAGTGGGGGGAGACCAGCCATCTGCAGCTAGGGCTGAGCTGACAACACCCAACAGACACTTATTGCAGGTCCAAATCACTGCCAAAAAAAGTAATTTCATTAAAAACTCAGGTTGGGTATAAATCCAGGTTGGGTGTAGAACTCGACTGCAACAGAATCCGGGCATGATTGGCAGAGCAAGAGCTCAGCTCTGCTCCACCCTGCACTCAGCATCRCCAGGCTGTCCATGGAAGGTCCTGAACCCACACCCGTTGTATTCATGTGTTGCTACTGCATCAAACAAGTGGCAAAGCACAGCCTAAAGCCCTCCCAGGGGGGTTTAAGGTAACCCACCTAACGTGGTACCTGCCCGGGCAGCACTCAGTGGGCTCTGCTCACACAGGGTTCCTCACCCTGCCTTCCTCAAGGAGGGTTTAAACTGCAATTCACACACCTGTACTGGGATCGACAAGGACTCAGCAGGGCTATGTGAAACCTGGAGGATGTAGGGACATCTCAAGGGCCAAGCAAGGGACCCTGCTCCCCCACCAAGGCAGCAGAGCCACAGCCCAATCCTTTCCTCTCTGTATCTCCTGGCCTCTGGGCTTTCCTCTTTTCGCCTCTTTGCAAGGTCGTCAGGTTTGACAAAGTTAACTTGTCCTCTTGGACAGAACTGCTTTTTCTCAGGGTTGATCAACTTGTGTCATGCAAATTACCCAGGGTGGAGGTAAACCAGAAAAAAAGGGGCATTCAGATGGTTCCTYTTATGTTTCACAAATCATTTGCATCCTTATTCTCTGCCTTCAGGGCAACTCTCAGTTGACTGAACACCTGCTTTTAGCTGCCGGGAAGCACATAACAAACCTCCTTCTCCACCCACCCCCAATTCACACCCTTTCCGAGTACTTAACTGGTGTCACTGAGGCTTGCAAAATCCTCCTCACTTCAGGCAGGCTGCTCATTTTTATCTTGGTCAAGACAGAGATGACGACATTCTCTTGCTTACCACGTCCCAGAATCCCAAAGCATCCCAGCTCAAGGAAATCCCAAACTCAAAGAAAGCAGAGAGCCTCACACCAGACTCCCCCAGCTTTCTGGCTTCGCATCTGTGACCCCTGAATACCCTTGCTGATGTCCACGGTGTCAGTCCAGCACAAAAATGCTTCAAAAAAAGGAGTGATAGAGAAAGAAAGCCAGATGGACTGAGCTTAATTGGGAAAAACCCAAAGAGACATCCAGCAGCCAAGTAAAAATGACACTGTTGCCTGGGAACCACTGATACTGCAAAAAGCATCCCCCCCTTCTTAGGATCTCCCTACACAGCCCTTGGATCTCCTGTTAAATTGCTCATCCTTAAAGTTAGTCCTCACAGCAACTCCAAAGAATCCATTTATTCCTGCCTTTGGAACTCCAAAGAATCCATTTATTCCTGCCTCTGGAACTCCGAAGAATCTATTTATTCCTGCTCTCTGGATGGAGAACCAAGGCATGGATTCAGAGCAAAAAGATCAGAGACAGAGGCAAGCAACAAACACAAGGGCACCGTGAGTCCCTGCAACGTCTTCTGGTTCCCAGGGCAGATGGAAAGAAGGCAGGAGATGTGTCAGGCTCAGGCAAAGAKCAGTGACCACATCATTTCATGGTGACAATGTCTCCCTTGCTGTGCAAAGGAGATGTCTCTCTCCAGGGTGGCAATGAAAACACTCCCATTATCAGTAACACAGAAAAGCTAACAGTAAATTCCAGAGCAAACACTAAATAAATTAAGAATAACATACACACATTCCCTTTGCCCACTCAAAACTAAACAAGAGTGATGTACTCCAGTAAATTGTATTTGTTCCTTGACTTGAAGGTGACAATCTTGACAATGACCATCGGCATCAATCCCTCTTTCTGAACACACTGCCCCTCAGAGAACATACTGAGGGTATTGACAGMAGTATAAGAATACCAAAAATCTTCCACAAGAGTTACCTCTGCTTAGGTACAACACCTTGTACATCTAAACGTCAACCAGTGTGGATATTTATCCTCAYTGCAGTAGGGACTAGCCAGCACAGGCTGAGTACTCTGCAAGCACAAACAGAACACTTTTCCACCCCTCAAAGAACCAGGAACGGAAGCAGAAGAGGTGGACTAGCAAAGTCAGGCAGATATCTGTGGAGGGATTTCCCATGGGTGGGAGACACAATGACCTGTACAAAAGCTCTGGATGGAGATTCTCATCATAGAGACCTGACATGCAGGTGCCAGCTCTTCACAGAAGCACACCTGGGGGATGCTGCCCCTTAGCCAAGGTACCAGGATGTGGATGCTCCCTCTGGAAGTGTCAGGTTCCCATGGGGAGGTGGCAAGCATTGTTCCAAACCTTCCTGTGGCTGAAAARCCACAAGCCACATCACTGGAAAAGCCAAGGAGCAGAGCAGCTGCAGGGCTGGTTCCCAGGAGGTTACAGCGCAGCCCAAGCAGCCTTGCTGGCTCTTAGTGCAGCGGCTCCTGGGGCTGCAATAAACTCCTGAGGCTGGAATCATCCTGCTGATTCTCACTGGGGCTGCAAGAGCCAGCGTGAGATGACCCAGTTGGACTGAAACCTCCTCAGCAATCATACCCCATCCTTCAGGAATGTACGTACGCTGCCAGTCAGGGTGTATAAATGCAGAGAGCAGGCTCAGACAAGTGTCTCACAGATTCAAGCTGTGCCCAAACCCTGAAGAAAATTTAAGGGCAGCTTAGGAGAGGCCAAGCTTTCATGCAGTGGCTTTGGATACCCCCAGCCACAAAAGCAAGCACCCTGAACTCAAGTCCTCCTACACAGGGTACAGACATTACACATGCCTTGCAGACTCTATATCCAAACCAGCTGCCCAGCTGTGCTGACAGTGCAGAGAAACAGGTATTGTAGGCAATGATTCAATCCATTCAGGTGCCCTCAGCAGGTCAGGCACTTCCTAAAAATATCTATTTCCCTCCAGCAACTGTACAAAGAGGTTGGGGAGGGACTCGATCAGTRACAGGTAATTGCAGCAGCACTCACTAAACCCCAAGGAGTAAAGTCCCCTGTTGTGGAGCCCAAATACAACCAGAAATAAAGTCTGTGTGATACACAAACCTCAGCTTATTCCAGATGTCTCCAGTGGTTCTGAGACTCCCAAGCACAAAAGCAGTCTACAGTCCTCCCACCAAGAGGCAAAATACAGGGAAACCTGTACCAAAAATGGAATCTGGAGGATCAACAGAAGAGGTCTCACCCAAAGGGTGCAGGGAAAACCAGGAGGGCTTCTATGTCCGGGCTTATGGGTGCTGAAAGACATCACCACTCACCTCATTTCCCAGGAAACCCTGGCAGGATCTGACCTCCCTTTGACACACTCCTCCTTTCTCCTTTTTGCAGTCAACCAAGACCTATATGACATYACAACAAAAGAAATGTCAGCACGCCCAATCTTGTCCCCTCCCTCCAACAAAAAAATTCCATTTCCTTAATTTTTCAACATAAGGCTACACTGGAAAGCAGTTCTATATAAATTGCAGCTTATATATAGATATTTAAATATTTATATATTGATTTAATATATATTGCCTATTTAAATATATACATATAGACATACACATGCATAAACAGGTGAAGGGACAGAGCCCCATGTGAGTGGCTGAAGCAGCAGCACATTCCTGTGCAGATACCAAAGTTCAGGCACCAGTGATGGAGCCCTACAGCCTGTCCCATGCTGGACACCCACCATGACCCAGTCGTGTGGCATAAAAATGAGCATGTCAAGGTCCCCATGAGATGTTCACTGCCAGCTGTAGAACAATCCCTCAAACACTCCTCAAGAGTAATGGGAGGAGACACAGACAGGAAGGCCCAGGATTGTGAGGAAAAGGGATGGAGGCAGCAGACTCCTGCTCCATGATCCAGAGTATCCCAGTGGCATCACGAGCAGGATGTGGGCTTTTCCTCATGGTGATCTCCAGGCATTGCTGACACCCGTCATTACAGCCCCAGGGTCACACAGGCCAGCCYGGTGGCCATCAGGCTGTTGTTCAGGTTCTCAGCACTCTGCTGGGTGGTGGTCCTTGCAGACTGTTTCTCCCACCATCCAGGTCCCCATCCTCTCCTTCTCAGGCCAGCACCCTTGCTGACACAGCCATAAATCACACAGCCATATATCAAACATATTTCTATCCCATAGGCTGGCAATGAGAGCGAGGCAGAGCAGGGAAGGGGACCTTTATTAGCATCAAAATCGCCTCATCACTCAGCCTACTTAACCCAGCCACATTTGCACTGCTAAATTTGGGAGAGTATGAGAAGCATTCCCTCATAATTGGAGGTGGGGGAGGGACAGGCCGGCTTCTGGCCTTCTTTAACTCCCTGCCAAGTGTTCTGTAATTCAAAGTCCATGTCAGGGAAGCCAYCCCGAGCTGCTCAGCAATGGCCCCGACCCAGCAGACCTGGAGATCTGTGCCTTAACCCCTTCCAGCCAGCATCTGAGCTTGCCTGTTGTAAGAAAATGACTGAGTCAGGCTTTAGGAAACAGCTCCAACTGAATAGCAGGTATCCAGGAGGGGTGTGGGAGAAATTCTGGACATCACACTTCAGCTTCAGACAATGGGTTCGAAGACCCTGCCCTGAATGGATGCAGTGCTCAGCCTGGCACCAGCTAGCAGCAATCCTCACCTTCAAACTGATTTAACAAGCTGTGAATGACCRTTTTTGGATGCAAAATAGATGAACTACTCAGGAAAGACAGCATCAATACCTGCAGCAAGAAAGAAGGGGTCCCCATCTCTGTCAGCACCCAGAAGCATTACCYTGACCTGGAGCACAGGCACCTAAAAACAGTTATCACCAGGCTTTGCTTCTGAGATCACAGAAGCAAATTAAACCTCCCTCTCCTTGTTGCTGGCAGGTACAGGAAGGAAATGCAGGTTACAGTAACCTTTCTGGGCCTGATTTCCATAAACACCATCAGCAGCTGCACCTTTCTGCAGATATCCAAAGAAATCTGCCCCTGGAAACWCAACCCATAGAACATCTGGGGGGATGCTGCTGCCCACACCCAACAAATAAACATGTTAATTAATCCCAGAGGGTGCCAAGTCCGGTGGTGTACATGGTGAGCCAGAAATTCTCCCCACCATCCACACTGAGACGTTCAAGGAAGCTTTTGAGGAATCCAGGCATGAGCCTGGGCAAGCGGCCGGAGACATTTCCCAAGCAATTCACAYGGCAGACCAAAAAAAAACCCAGGCTTGTTTTCTGTAGAAGTGGGCATCAAACGTTCTGACATCAAGAAGGATGATTAAAGACAGCTGAGTTGCAGGAAAGATTAAAAGAACTAAATATGCCCAACCTGGCTAAGCAATGAGTAAGAGGAGYGGTGATAAAAGACTCCAGGCATCTGAATGAAGGGAGTGGTGTGGCTTTAAAGGGCTGAATAAAATATCTTTCTGAGAAATGGATCCATCAACGATCTCTCAAGAGATAAGGTACAAGCCTCATTTTTTAGGCATTTATAAAACCGGTCGTCAGAACTGAGGTTTTTCAGGAGAAATCCACATTGCCCGGAGGGAACATGCACCAAAGCTTTTTATCTCTGCCATGGGGTGCTGCAAACAAGGAGCAAAATGCCAGRAGGGAGCACTGGAAACTTGGGAAAGGGCAAGCATTTCATACAACCTCCCCCAAGAAACAGAGATACACCTTTTCACTGTAAAAATTTATATATATTTGATTTTTTACTCCTTATTTTTAATTCAGCAGCTCTAATCCATAATGTTTCAGGTTTAGCGGGAAAGAAAGAAAATAAGGAAATAACCACCAACCTATTAAAAATGAACAGGTGTGGGGATCTTAGAACTACTGGATTTTTTTTCCCCACAATAAATAAAGACACTTGGCATAGTACCAAGGAAGCAAGAGCCTGGATTGAGCCGAGCAGGGGTGTTCCTGGAGACTGCCAGCCCAGCAGCTCTCCAACACAGCCAGACACAGCACACACATGGGCAAGGTGACAAAATCCTAGGAAGTTTTTCAATACCTGGCTCTGGTGAGATCATACCCTTCAGTAGAAGTGCCCTCTGACCCTCTGAAACCCAGYGACCTGATACATCTTACAAAAATCAGAAGTGAGCCCTAAGGCCTGAATAAACTACCCAGGAGGAGAGAGAAACCTGTTACACTGGCCTTGCCCCAAAAAGCCACGCAATGCACACCTAACCATCAACTCTGTGAAGACAAAGCAGTGGATTCTGTGTAATTTCACACCATGTACAGATATATGAGARTCTTCTCAACATCCCACCCTGGTGCATAGGGGTGCACCCAAGGGAAGAAGCCTGACCAGGCCAAAAATATTTACTGAATACACAGGTTATGCACGGCGAGGTTTCTACCAACACCATCTTATCAGTTCATCTGATGTGCCAGAGGATTGCAATTAACCCCCAAGAGTTCTTTCAGGTGCTTCTGCCCTGGTATTGCTGATGCAACTCAGCCACCAGGTATGATTTACAAAGCTCAGTGGCATCCCAGATTTGGGTACCTAGAGACTTATTTCTTCCCAGCTGGGAAAAGCCAGAAGACATTTGCCAGAGSTGTAATCTTAAATCACAGTTTATTCTCACAATGCCCACGTATCCTGTCCCAGCTGCCCGTGGCTCCCCTGACCTGGTGAGCCAAGGCAGGGCAGTTGAATCTAAAAGGAAACTCGATAGGAAAAAACATTAAAGGTGAGCAATTTTCTTCTAATTAATTCCTTAAACCAGTTCAGTGGGGCTCAGACAAGTACTAGAAATCTTTCCCCTTTTGGCATAAGCGAGATCAGCTGAACTGCAACATGTGACTGCAATCCAAGGCAACCTTTGTTTGCGAGACCAAGACTGGATCTTTTTAATTTTATTTTTTCCCCCTTTCCCACAGCAACCTCTTAAGTCTGCAACTGCCTTTCTCCATGGGAACAGGAGATCCACCGTTAATTGACCAGTGAGTTTTACTGCAGAGTTGAAACAGGATGTTCACAGAGGATTTTACTGTGGGTTTTTAAATAAGTGGGACGTTTTAGTAGGCAGTGCATCTTCTTGCTTCGTGCTTGTTTCTTTGGGAGGCTGAAATACAAAACCAGACTGCCAGATTCATTTTATATACTGAAGAAACATGATTTTGCTCTACCCAATTATAAAAAGAGAACATAAAAAGACTCATTCAAAGTGGAGGAAACTGCACCTTACGTTTGGGATGAAAAGGGAAAATTAAAACATCTAAGATAGATTATTACACCTTCCATCAAACCTCTGTCTTCCCACAGAATCAGCTGCTTCCATCACTGAAGCAGCACTGATGCTTGGGAGATTACCTGGCTCAGGGTATCACTGGCACACAGAATTAAAGGTTTGCAGGTTGTGAAAGTCCCTCCTTTCCTTTTGATGTTAATTTCGGGTATCCCTGCTCAGACCATGACTGCATTTGTGCTCTGCTCTTATGCATTCAGACAGCCAGACCTGGCATCCCTCACAGCAGGTGTGGCAGGAGGGCACAGCCCCTCTCTGACCCACAACTCATCCCTCCAGGAACGACTTTGGAGTCTGGAGAAAGGAATGTAAAACTTTGACTCATTAAATTCCCACTACAGGGAGTGGAGGTTATTTTTTCCCCATTCAGAGAATTAATAAGAAACAACTCTCTCCCAAAGCACAGATTAATTTCTACTCAGAGGAGTGGCTTGGGGATAGTCCATGTGTTAAAAAAAAATGCAGAGAGCTCCCACAGGATGAGCCCCAGGAGGGAGCTRTGTGCTGGGAAGCAGCCAGCTCTCCATGTCCTTCCCAAGAAACRCATTTCTCATCCTGACACATACATTTTGGTACACCCACTCCCACTCAGCAGAGCCTTTGCCGGCATCCATTTTCCCTGGATATTTTACAAATGCTTATCCAGAGCCTCCCATTCTCACTCTCTCACAYGGCAGTAACTGCTATTCTACTTTTGCTCCAGTTTTGAAAAAGTGCAAGAGAGGAATGAGTGTTTTTCAGGTTTCGGAAAGACAGGCACCTCTATCTGTGGCTGGCAGCTGCTCCTTTGCTCAGGGAGAGGGGATGCACTTGCACAAAGCTCTTGGAGAGGGAATGGGGCAGGATGTAAGTGCCTGGACTGCTGCTGGTAGTCTGGAAAGAGTTACTGCCGGGCTGGGGTGAAGAATGCAAGTGACGCAGCAGCATCCTGCAGGGAGAGAGGGGAAAATGTAAAAAAAGGAAAAAAAACCTTACAAAACCTCCAGCTCTTTGGCTGAGGTTCAGGATGACTACACTTTTACTGTAAGTGTTTAGTAACTCAGAGTCACATAACCCTCTCTGCCCACTTGGGGCCACGAGATGCAGCTTACAAGCTACAAGAAATGCTTCAC